ATCTCTTCTAAAATGAGTTGAACCAATTGTGACACTTTAAATTATATCTTTTTTTCTTTTTAAGATCAGGGAGATGAGAGATGTGTAATGTTATTGATATTGAAAAAGAGCTGAAAAGAGATGTTATTGACAGAGGGCTTTTGTATCTGACAAGATATGCATATTTACTAAGGGGTGAAAGCAGGGAAAACACAGCTCCATGCACTGCAATGGCTTCATAACCAATAATCATAATCACATTAAATTAGGCATAATTGGTGCATTATATACTTGACACTGAACGGGTGTTAAAGGATTTCAATAACAGGGGCCTTGTTTCCACTGCTGTTGGTGTAGTCAGCTGTCCCTGATGATTGCTGGAGGATACTGGCCCGCTGCAGATAAGATATTAGGTTGGCCATGAGCCCAGCTGTGTCCTGTGTAACATACCATAGCCAGAGATTATGTTTCCATGCTCACTCCCAGCTGAATAGTACAGTCTCTCATCCATCGCTGATTGTACACACCTGAAAATAAATATTTTACATTTGAATTGGTCCTCCAACTCTATTCATAATCAGTGTCAGTAACCAAAACCTTTTTTTTCGTTGAAGTCCATCCAAAAAATGACTACCAAAAGCACAAGGACATGAGCATCAAGATTTTTTCCTCTGCAAAAAGCCACCAAATGCACAAATCTTTAAGTGAAAAAATATCAATATTTTTCACTGGATGCATTATATGTGTGGGTAGAGACAGAAAATTTCAACCCGGATATCCCAGAGATAGCAATTCTTGAGTAGTAGGTATGATTCAGAGGTCAGTTGAAAGCCAAACCACCATACTGGGACACATAAAAAAGCTGCACACACAGTAGGTCAGGAAGTGGGTCAGTGGAAACTGGACAATTGCCTCTTCATATATAGATTTGTTCACAGGAAATAAACTATGATCTTGCTTGTTGTGCCAGTATGTTATTTGCTGTAAGCTTCTCAATCTGAGGTGAATGGTGTCCTGGCGAGTCATACTACATTGGTTTTCAGTTCTGGTCACTGACCATGCCTACAGTTTGTGTTATTCTTGTCTGCGGGTGAAAGGTCTGCCAGACATTTTGAAAACCACACATTATTTAATTTGCAACAACGTTGCATTTTATTACAGAGACGATGCAGAATACTTCTCAAAACAATGGTGATAAGATTTCAGGGGCTGGAAACCACAAACAAATTGAGAATCTTAAAAATGCTTTTGAATTAGCGTGGTGTATGCAGTGTAGAGGATAAATGTCATGTCCATTCAGGAAAAATAACTTCATTTAGTGGGTATACAATTAGTGGCATCATAATCCACAACCAATTATTGTTTTATTACTAGAAGAGCCTGGAGTTGTGGAAGTGAAATCTATCATTCACAATTCCTTCAGCATTCTTGTCACCATGAGCACCACGACCATTGAGCTTTTCTGCACTTACCCCTGGTGACATGACTTTAAACTACAAAGATGCTGTTGTTGCAGGTGGTGGTTTTTCATCAGGGTGAGGCGAGTTCCTGCATGCTCGGAGCTGATGCTATCACACTAAGGTGCTGCGGTAATCTGAGACAGCTGAGAAAGAGAAAACAGCATCAGGGTCTTCCGCACTTCAGGGTCTTCTGTCCCCAGAAGCACATGGTGACGTCAGGCCTGCGGCTTGCAGCCAGAGAGTTCATCCTCATACATGGAAGTTTAGCTCCAAGCCAGTACATTTCTTGCTGCCCCCCACCACCACCACCACCCAGACAAACACAGTGTGTCTTTAATATGTGCTGCTTCTAAAGCTCTTAACCACACCAGTAAGACCAGATGCATAAACAGCACCAATCTAGAGACCTTGTTGACCTCATTGAAAAACAAGTTGACCTCGTTGAAAAACAAGTTCCTTATACATATTGTCATGATGTTGTCTTGTGATGTAACAAACCAATACACATTAACTGAATATCAGACAGGCTTCAGTCAACATCCTATAGTTAATTTTGATCTCCCTCATGGCTGAAGTGTCACTAGTTGTTTTGCTGTGTATGTTTTGAAATTACTAGCCACAGTATTCTTATTTTTGATGTATTTTTTGCCAGTGTTTGAACACAATCTGAATACCAGTGCTGGGCCAGTATTTGTGATCTAGTCCCAACACGCACATCCTTTTCACCAGAGGAAATGAGACTCTCATGTCTGTCTGTCCCCCTAAGGGACCTTTGTGAATTGCTGGTATGTCATGTAGTGGGTGTCTGTTTGTTGTCATTTCTGCCAGTATTTCTCACAATAATATCAGCTAATACAGGACTAAGTGATGTTATACATTGCACCTCTGGTTCAGAATCAGAGAATTCTGACTCATTTAGGAATGGGGTGCAGTGAGAATTTTACATGCATATTATTTAAAATCTATCATGTAGACACACACACACACACACACACACACACGCACACACACACACACAGGCGGTCCCTGGCTTTTACAGCACAATGTGTTTTCAGAACACAATTCCGGAAAAAAGATAAGCTGGCTAGCTAGCTAACTAATAAGGTAGTCATCCAGACTTTTACAGGTATAAATTCTGTCTCTTAGGACGAAACCAGAAGAGAATCTTAGGTCATAAAAGGCGCGCAGGGGTGGGCAACTCCGGTCCTGGAGGGCCAGTGTCCTGCTGGTTTTTGTTTTCATCTCTTAGTTACCTGTTGATTTTCACCTTGAAAACAGGTGTGCTTGCTCTTCAGCCAATCAGAGATTGTATTTAGTTGGTCAACAAGAAAAACAGCAGGACCATGGCCCTCCAGGACTGGAGTTGCCCACCCCTGATGGAACCAACTTTCTTGCTTTCTAGCTGCCTAATCTGCCATCACCATTTATACTGAGGCAAAACAGGTTTTTTGCTGGTTATGACCTCTGCCATGGTATTTAAGATGACTTAAAAAGGTGGGATGAAGCTGGCTTAACATAAAATGCTTAATATGATATAAAAATGCTTTTTCCATCCCATGGGCAGTCTGAGTCTACATCTGATGACAAGTTATATAAAGTTATCGTTATGGTGTGTGTTTATATATGTGTATAAATATGTTAGACATTTAGTTACGTGTGTGTGTGTGTGTGTGTGTGTGTGTGTGTGTGTGTGTCTGTGTCTGTGTGTCTGTGTGTCTGTGTGTGTGTTTGTCGTGTGTGTTTCATTCTCTTGAAAGGCAGCTCAGACGTTCAGCAAAAAAGAATATTTATCAAGCAAGATACAAACCAAGATTTAAGTGTCAAAACATGTATGAGTTTTTCTGCTTTGAAGGCCTGTCCTTTGCAGTACGGGTGTTCAATTAATCAAAGGAAAACATTTCCAGAACAGAAGGGTGTTAAAACAGGTATTTACTCTCCACTGTAATTCGGGAGCAGTTTGCATATTATAACAAGAAGTGCATCAATCAGAAACCTTTTTTTCATGTTGATGGGGAGGTTGGTTTATAGCTGAGAATGGAAAAGGTTGTTTGACAGACACCTCAAAACCAGTTTATGGTTGCCTTTATCTGACTGCATTTCATTATTGATTCAGACAAACTCACATCTCCCTCAGTGAGCTGGAGCAAATAGAATGATCCTGGTGGAATCATCATGGAGGAGCCTGGTCCAATTGAGAAATTTCTCAGTAACCTTAACTTGAGGGAAATGGTAAAGTGGAACTCTGTGATTTGAGAGCCTGAAGGTTGTGATTTAGTGGAATTTTCAGGTTTTGGTTATGGACACTCCTCAGGACACGTCTCAAGTTTCCAGGTGTAAGCCATTCCTTTTCTCTGACAAAATCTTAACTTATTACATTTTTACCTGGCATGACAGTATTAGAGAAGGTGCACAAGATGTGCATGTTTAGGTATGTAAAATGTGATCTTGTTTTTCAAATGCTTGTCAGTTTCAGCTTAATATGACTCAACCAAAGAAATGGGCACAGTTCATCTGGTAAGTAAATGTGAATAAAAATAAATATATTATACAGTATATATTTCCAAAAAATGCAATCTTATAATACATGCTACAATGTGAATGCTTTGACATATCTGCAGTATGTTTTGGCATTTGTAAAAATGGCATTCCTGTATTCTGGATGTTATCCTCATCTTTCACTACAGTGCTATTTATCAAAGAAGAGCATCTGGGTCAGACAAGTATGCCATGAGAAATAGACTTTTCTTAAGTGATTGGTAAGGAATGGTGGGGACAAATCCTTTGAGCTTTTATGTGTGGCAGTGTGCCAAATTGATATGAGATTGTGAGATTTACACCAAATGTGTGAGTCACCAGGAGGTGCTTGAGATTTGACAGGAATGGTTCATTTCACTGCAGCATTCTTAGAGTCATGTGAGTGACCTACTAAAAGTTATCAGCTTTTGCAAAGAAAGCAGAGAAGGAAACAAGAAAATGCTGTCGTTCCACAAGTATTATTTTCCACAGGAAATTGGAAACTCTGATGTTGTGTAGTTCCATCCTCCTCTCCATAATAGCTTTCTCTGAAAAACATTATACAATCAAACTAAATACTGATTGCCTAGGACAATGGTGTGAACACCAAAACATTTATTACACAGTGCTATATTGTCTGTGCTTTGACATATATTTGACAGGGGTTCAAACTAAACATAAGCACATATACATAGCCTGGAAGCCTGCTGATAAAAGTAAAAAACGGTGCATATTTTTGTATGGAATCAGTTATTGTTTTGAAGATTATTGATCTTTTAGGTGTCAAACTGAACATGACCATTTTGCAGTTCACAAGAAAATGAAGACAAATATAGAAACAATTCTATGAAGAAGACGGTTTGTATGAGTGAACAACAAACACATGGGGACTCAATAAGGGATGAAAGCCATTCTCTGAGTGCATACAGTCATTCACTATTTTCATGTGTGATGGAGCAGAATGATGACATAGATTATAGGGACGCATAGATAACAGGAAGCATACACGCGTAGATTGTTTGACTGCTACATATTCATGTTGGTGGTGCAACAGTGTAGCATAATGGTAAGTTGCTTGGCTTGTAACCAAAAGCTTGCCAGTTCAATTCCCTGCTGGGGCACTGCTGCTCTACCTTTGGGCAAGGTACCCACAATTAACCCACAATTGCCTCAGTAAATAATCAGCTGTATAATTGGGTAACATGTAAAAATTGCAACATATGTAAGGCGCTCTGGGAAAGGGTGTCTGCTAAATGACAATAATGTAATGAAATGGTGGTGGTCACCATAATGGGCCATCCTCTAAGTGTGTGCTCACTTCAGTAGTTGCTAGCAGGTAGAAGGTACTTTTTCCTTGTAAAATTGCCTCAACTGTTTTTGAGACAAAATCTCAAAAAATATTTGTGGTATTGACATAAAAAGTGCAAGTAGTGCTATATCAGGTAATATAGAATCCTATATCAGATGTCAGCCAGTTTTTGTAAGTATAGCTGAAAAGCTGTCAGAGGAGTTGTGTTCAGAAAATCAAACGGAATAATAATAAAAAGAAACTAGAGAATGTAATTCCAGGGAATTACGAGTGCATGAAAATGCAAACAGTCTAATTTTACATAGATAAAAGTATATAGGCCTACATCAAACAGATGTAGGTGGTCAGAACAGCTGCCACAAGATTCTAATTGCTTAATGGCTCTATTGTGATGTCATAAAGGCCAATGTTAAGTCTATGGGGAAAATTTTGATAGTTTTTAATTAATAGTTTAAAAAGTATAAATGTTACAAAAATAAAAAATACATAGCATAAGTGTCCTTTGTAAGACCTACGCAACACAGTTTGAATGAAGTTTCTACGTTAAACGGTTGAAGCTGTATTAAACGCACAAAATTGGTTAGAAGAAGAAAAAGAAGAATAAGAAAAATTCGGATAACAATAGAGTGCATTTTCATGCACTCTAATAATAAGAACAGCTTTTTCAAGCCAACTGAATAATAAGATAATTTGTTGTAGTAAACCTTGAGTGAAATTCGTGCAGTTATCACACTTAAACTGAAGCTGGTCTGGAAAATTCAATGATGTAGATGCAGTGTTGCTTTTTGTTTTTGATCTCCCTCCCTCTGCAGCTTTAGCTTGGACCTCAAAAGCCAGTTGACAGGAAGGAGTCAGAAATAGGGGCAGAGCAGTCAAGTGGAGAGGCACAGGATAAGCAGGATAATAGGGCTTCCGTTGACTTTAGCACATACATTTTTTACTTTGCAGTAACTACCAAGAAAAAATATTACACCAGCATTTTTAAATATATGAGATAATTAGACAAGGGGTATCAAACTCCTGGAGGGGATTGCATGCCCTTTCTTTCTCTTTGTAACAACTAATTGCACTGGCTTAACAGAAACAAGGAGGTAATTTAGCGTTATGCATTTTGAAAGTGAGAAAAGTACAAGGAGTAAGTGACAAGTTTGGCCAGAATGGAAACAATGGTGTTGTGAAATGACATTCACCTAACAGACATCCATCTTACCATTCTTAATGGCAACAACATGTTTCAAGGCATTGATGTCACCAGCATAACCACAATTGGGTGCAATTTTAAATTGCACCAAAAAACTCCAATCCATTGTTCAATGTAAAATCCAATGTATCTGCTTGTGATAAATTGAAGATCTGAAGACTAGACAGATGTAACTAAGTGAAATTATGCTGTGATGCCAAGGAAACAACAAGGGAGAATTGATTGTGTTTTTCCTAGTTTTCGCAGTTGCCAATTGGTTCTGCAGTTTGTAAATGGTGAGTCTCCATAAACAGGCTTACTTCTTCCAAATGTGGCATATCCACACCCTGATCACCTTGGGTACAAGGTAGCCTGCAGTACCTGCCCTGACGTGCTTTCAGTCACTCCTAACCTACAGCTGGTTGTCAGTGGAAACAGCATGCATTCTACAAGACACTAATCCTTCATTCATCTCATTCATACATCTTCCCATCTCCTGTTCCTGTGTCAATAAACCCCTGCACATCTACATCATTAGCAACTGTTTGAACAGAGCTGAAACAGTGCAGCCCACAGCATTATATTTTATATGGCATTATCTAAACATTTTATAACACACTATTTATGCATGGGCAGTAGTAGGGCAACCTGAGAAGCTCAGTGATTAAGGTTTGCCTTCAGCACAAGCTGGGCTCAACTGCTTCGATGCCAGCCCTGTCGTCAGCCAATGATGACCGGAAGCCCAGAGAGGCAGAACAAACTGGATTCATCTGCTGGGGATAGGGAGAGAGTATGTTTTCTCTCAAGCAACCTGTGACTTGTCAGGTGCCTGCAGGTTGCTCGGCTGACGTCAGTGGAAGTGTGCCCATCATCTAGTAGGTGCTTAGCTGTAGTGAGCTGGCTGACTTTTAGTGTGGAAAATAGCCATGGTTGGCGTGCAGTGTATCAAAGGAAGGCGTTCACTATGCCCCAGCACTCAAGTGCAGTGGTTATTGCAGCAAGACAAGCCTAGTATTGCCTACAACACATATATTTCAGAAGGTTGAATAGTTAACGTTTCCCAAGCTCCCTAAGCGAATTCAGAAATTACCATTAAGCTATTTAATTATGCTTGATAAACACTGGCACACCTGCTCAAATGAGCCTCAAGGCATTGTGAGAAATTGGTATGATAATTTCCATGAAACCTTTTCAAGCCATCTTGGAGAAAATATAGGGGTGAAATCATGAACACTGCTTTTTAGAAAAGGTCCAAATATTGTAGATCATTCATTCATCATCAATTAACTTTTTTCCTGGCAATTAGGAAACAAAGAAGCATGATTTATGCTTAACTACAATGGCAAAACTACAAAGTTTGTTTTCATAGCATTTGTTGTAGTCAAGACATGACAGGTCATGGTCATGGTTTTGGTGTGAGTTTTCATTAAAATCCATTGCATTGATCTACAGTGATGTCAACAAAATAGTTCAAAGCAATAGTCTTCAGCCGTGCTGTTCTGAAGATTTATATATATATATATATATATATATATATATATATATATATATATATATATATATATATATATATATAAAATCTTCAGAACAGCGTGACTACTATTGCTAGACTATACTTGAAGACTATATATATATATATATATATATATATATATATATATATATATATATATATATATATATTTTTTTTTTTTTTTTTTGGTGAGCATTTGACAAGAAAGATGAAACCAGTTCAAAACTGCAGACCTTCATCATATTCCATAAAACACTTAACTGAAGTACAAGTAGAGGAAGCTAAAAACTGCAGTCAAGAATTACACAAGCAAAATAAATCCTTTATGTACAAAATGTACAGTTTGCTAAAATGATGGTAAAGTCTACCCCCAACAACAGCAACAGAGCTCTGAGAAACACTCTAGAAACACACTGCTTGTGCTGAACACTTGTTCAATACATCAAGCTCTGGGGTGATTTGGGATAATTGACATTGACACGTCAAGCTACAATCACACCTGGCCTAAGGGCAGAAAAATTTTGAGGTTGTACAGATTGTGCCAGGTTAGGCTGGGATTTCATCCACCCCATTGGCCTAAATCAGCTGGTACTCAGTCTGCCTGACATGAACCTCTCTGACAATTAGTGATGAACATCCCCTGCTCAATATAGGGCTTTCTCTTGTACCTAAATATAGTATAATTCACTTTTGATTTAAAGTTATACCTGGTTACATTTTTAGGATATATCTAAGTAAAATAATCATAGACATAAAATTTAATTGTCTGGTAATCCTTTAATAGACTCATAACTGTTGACTTGTGAATCAGATCCTGTCTGCATGCAATGTTGTGAGTTCACCCCATATCCGAACCCTGAGACTTGTGAGTTTATTGTAGATACTAAAGTTTGCTTTCACAGTGCAAACATATACTCTGTAAATTATGCATGAATGTGCCAAATGATGGACTGGCATCTTGTACCAGCTGGGTTTGGTTCTGGTTCACTGGTTCAAATCTCGAAAGGACACAGAGATTACTGGAAATGAATGGATAATTAGGCGGTTATATGCACAAGATGCACACTGCAAAAAATGTACAAATCTGACTTAATTCACTGAAATGCCTGACTTTCAGAAACATCAGCTTCCTAGATGAGCTTCTGTCAGTCAGTTTCTGAGGAATTTTGACTTCATTTAGAAATGATCCACAATCAACACTCAAGACTACGACAATGTTGACAATGGCTGCCCTCTTAACACCTGTATGCCTCTTACCAATGTTATGATCAAGTTTAGTCTGGTACCTCAGCCAGTTTTGTGAGTATACCTTCATGTCTAAATGATATAAAATGGGATAATAACTGTGTACTTTCATTTGTTGCTTAGTGATTTTATAATTGCACATTTTAATTTTTTTCATCACCTGATTTCTTATGTCTCCTCTTTTCTGTGTTGAGTTCTGTTGCCGAGAGTAACTGTGAACAGTATTAATAGCTGAGACAACCATGGATGTGTTCAGCTTCATAGACAACCAGATTGGCAAGATGGTGGCATCCTTTTAAATACACAGGAGCAAAATATATGTATAGAGAGTTGTTGGCTAGCCAGCTGAAATTGTACCTGAGGATGAAAACTGGGAGAAGTCTGTGGAATGCATTCCAAATCCAAGCTTCTCTGTGCGCTGTGAGTGTTTTAGTGAATGTTTTAGTGATGTAAAGTTTGAGCATGGGGGTAAGACATTGTTTCTTACTAATTGTGGTTTGCCGTTTAAGAACCTGGTGTATCTCATTGGTTCTTTATTGGAGATGAGAACCAAATAAAAGATGCATGACATGTCTTTCATTTGTTGTCTTAAACTTGGAGGTGTTGGTGTACACATCATTCAGGAGTCCATCTGTGAATCTGTTTGATACAGCAAAACCATTGTAGTCTTGGTACTCTTGGTACTCACATGAAATGGGACAACATTTGTCTTTTTACATTGTAGATTGCATGCCTTTGTAAGTATGTGTATTGCAGTTTTCAGCCTGTTTATTATTGTTTCATGCACTCATCCCCCCTGTTGTTCCCTCCTGTGGCTGGGGTGACTGTCTCCATGCTAAAGTGCCTTGGTTTGTTTTGTTTTATCCACACTCAC